CGGTCCCTGCTGCAGGCTTGGAAGGAGGGTGGGAAGGGTGAGTCAGGGCTCCTGCTTCTATTTTCAACGCCTGGGGTGGGTAACGCGGTCTGGTGGGAATAGCGGCTCCGCGCCGGGAGGCACGGGGTGCGAACGCACGCGGGGACGGGGACGGGACTGGGGACACCCAGAGCATCCCTGTAACGCTGGGCTAATGGCAGTCACCAGCTCACAGGGTGAGCGCTGTCCCAAATTACGCTGATAAATGTGCTCCGGGGAAGAGGGGCTGTGGAATCACCGACATTTAACGACTGCCCCAAAATCAACGTCCCCACGTCAGGCACGGGGTGCGAACGCACGCGGGGACGGGGACGGGACTGGGGACACCCAGAGCATCCCTGTAACGCTGGGCTAATGGCAGTCACCAGCTCACAGGGTGAGCGCTGTCCCAAATTACGCTGATAAATGTGCTCCGGGGAAGAGGGGCTGTGGAATCACCGACATTTAACGACTGCCCCAAAATCAACGTCCCCACGTCCGCTGCCCACCTGCATTTCTCTGCCGGCCATGGCCTCTCCTCCGTGGGTTTCCACAGCCACCAAGGGCCCGGGGCACGATGACACCCACGCTGCGGAGCTGCCGGCCCGGTGCAGCAGCTCCCCGGGTCCGTCCTGCGAGCCAGCATCCCTCGGCAGCTCGGTGGTTCTTATTTTTCCCGTGCTTGAAGGTGCATGTGGTCCTTCCCACAGCCGCTTCGTCCCCATGTTGCATTTCAGCTGGGAACCACGGTCACACTTCGTAGTGAAAGTCCTCGCTCGGGGTCGATGGAGCCACGGTGTTACCTCAGCCATGACGCTTCTTAGGGGGCTATAGGGTGTGGAAAACAGAATAGTTTAGGGCGTGAGTAAGTTTTGTCTTGAGAGTTTTGTTCTGAACTTTGCAATAATTCTGCAATTTCTTCAGAATGGGTTTGAATCCCTCCCAGCCACGGGTGTGCTGGGAGACCCTCAGCCCCGCGCTGGGGACACGGCCCCGAGCTCCTCACCTGCCACCCGGGCCTGCTTCCATCGAACCTGCAGCAGCAAATGAACCAGCATTGCATAACCGTGCCCAGCCGTGGCCCTCTAAGTCCTGTTTGCTCAGCTTATTAGCTTGAGCCTTTTGCATATCTCAGCTCTCCTGGGTTGAACTCTGTTGATAAGAATAATTTTTCTTCCCGTGTCCTGCATTCCTCCTGCATCCCACATCAGCCCTTGCTCTCCCCTCTGAGCCTGCCTGAAAATAAGCACCGAAAAACAGTGCTTTCATTTCAATGTGCCTACCAGAAGGCTCTCTGCATGTAGG